CATTAAAATAAAAAGTACTAAAATATATCAAAGTAAAATACCATGTTACGAAGTCTTAAATCTAAATAATGGTGGAGCATATTGTGCAGATGGTAGCTCAAAACTGGGCAATTTGGGAGGATATTTTCGGATCCTTGTCCGAAAGGAATAGCAATAAATAGAAATCACATTCCCTGCCAGGGAATCTCTTCAGTATCGGGTATATAAATATCTGTCTAGAGTCCTTATATACGGAACAGTGTAATAAGATATGGCTTAGTGTTTCTATTGAGCCATCTCCACATGGACCTAATCGAAGGTGCAGAGGAGTACCCTTAAAATGTCCAAAAAGGACTGCTGAGGGCAGTGTGTCCAGTCTGGCTAAGTTGAAAGCTTTATGAAATTTCAAAATTGTAATAGATGATAAATAAGAACCTGGAACAAACCCTTTTGGTAAAAAATGACAAATATTGGGGTGTAGCACCTTACTTAAATTTGTTTGTAGATCTATATCCCAGATACATTGTTTCAGGGTGGTTTTAGCATTATCAAATCCTAATAAGCACAGAAGCCCAACAATTGATTTCTATCTAAGGCCTTTTTTTTTTTTTGCCACGATGATTTAAAATGTTCTCTAAATACCAATGGGGCTAAACCTTTAGGAAACAGAAGTAACTTTAGCCAGAAGGTAAGAAGAGGAAACCGTGCTCTGGCATCCAATGAAACTATACCTAATTCTATCCTTAGGATGGCATTTTTAACACTTTTTGGTGCCATCAGAATGGCTCTAATAAACTTATTCTGAATAGTTTCAATTATATTAAGCTTTGCAAGGGAGCAAACCTGAGATCCATAGAGGAGCTTGAAAAACCTTGCAAGCTGCAGGGATATCATGGGCTCCTTTTGAATGGTAGACTCTTACAATTGCTGATGAGGTACTCTATGCCCCAGTAGCCTGGTAAGAAAATGAGCATTCCAAGATAGGGAAGCATGGGACTGCACTCCAAGGTATTTATAGGTGCACACCTGTTCAATTGGGGTCCCATTTATTTGCCATCTGTGACTCTTATGATGGGGTTGGGCAAAAACTAAGACTTTAGTTTTCTGATAATTTATTG